TTACAATGAATATTTTTACATGAAAGTTATTAACAGTCTTCTTTGCATTTACATGCTACGTTGAGCTAAATTTTGATATATATTTCAATTTGATTTTAATAAATTTCAATAGTTCAAGATTCAGTGAAAGTTCTATAATTGAATAAAGTTCAATAGATCAGAAGTTCGTGAGATATAAAGTTCTGAAGTTCTGACTTCTTTCGATCGAAGATTTCATACAATAAAGTTCGATGTTTCAGATCATCATAATTTCAAACGGTCTTGGTTGATTGATATAAAACAAATATCAATTCTAGTTTCAATTTAGATCTAAACCGAATATTAAAGTCTTTTTATAAATGATTGTGGAATTTTGTTAATTATGATATATATGAGATAAATAATTAAAAATATATATAGTGGATTCAAAAAGAAATTTGTTGATTAAAATAACTGTTGAAATTATTTGTTATGACTGATGCAATATACTATTGTTTTTCAAAGTTTATGATATAAAGCAGAATGTTGTAATAGGTTTTGTAGGGTCCATTCTTTCCGTATTGATTTGAAGATTTAAGGGATACTCTTTTCCAGATACAAGCTTGTTTTAGAGTCATTAGGTTATTTTTAACCACAAGACATAAAAAATTTACAATGCCCTAGAAGAGATTGGAACCTGGACCTCTCAAATATGCATCGAGTGTGCTACCATTATACCACGAAAGCATGCAGAAAAGAGGGAGGAAACACCTTATATAAAAAAGCAAATCTTACCGAATTTATCATTTATTCTCATTTTTCCATAAAGCCAATATGCATATTTCTCCAGATAAAGCTTACGTTTCACTCGCTGATCGCTACCTCGGACAGCCTTATTCTCAACAAAACAGCTGGGTACATTACTCATCTATTACAGTAGTTTCGAACACAAAGAGCATACGGTCCAAAAGCACAATCTGAAAACAGCTGACGGGGCAGAATACATTTTCTAACAAAATGAAAAGTTTTAATGAACTACAAATATTTAAATATGTTCAATTTCGTTTACTAAATATTTATCGAAACCTACATAAACAATAATAATAATACCGCAAATAAAAAATGTATTTTCTCTCTAAAATATAAAGTTGACTCGTAAGACATTTTTCTTGGTAACATTGAGTAATTCAAATATATTGACAGGTAAATATCAAATTCGTAGACGAAAATTTCTTTCAAATAATTCTCATGTGCTTAATTCATCATTGAGTAATTTAATTTGAACTAAAATTAAGCAAATTAAGAAAACTTTCTAAGTTTTCAGATTTTCTGTTTTTTATTAGCACAAAACTACACCTATTAGTCCCAAAAAGCGATTTTACGTTATTTCACTTTTCATTTAAGACTATTGTCATTCGGAAAAATTTAATATGTATATATTTCAGACTAGCAGCTTCGCTGCCAGCCTTCGTCTGGCTTTTAAATGTACCAGAAAAATGGCTGAAGGGAACACCAAACGTTAAATTTAAAAACTGCACAGAATTTACTCTGCAGAACAACTTCATAAAAAAAAAGTTATTACGTATAACAAAATTACAATGAAATAAGCAATATTCCTTAATACAAATATTAATTATCCTAAAAAATAAATTAACCAACGTCCCTTTGCAAAATCTTAAGAACTCAAATGGTATAAAGGAGGTTAAGAACTTTGTTTCCTAAAAAAATCACTCAAAACTTTTCAATATCTTAAAAACAGTGAAATGAGCAATAAATAACATAAAAGAATAAAAAAAACAAAAAATTCTGAAAAGCAAAGTATAATTAAGGATATTTTATCTTATATTTTCAAGAAAAAAAAATTACAATGAAATAAGCTATATCCGTTAATACAAATATTAATTTTCCTAATAAAAAATGAATCAACTTTCAGTTGAAGAAAAAAAAAATCATGCAAAACTTTTCAATATCATACAAACAGTAAAATAAGCAAAAAATAACATTAAAGCAACTCAAAAAACATAAAATTCCGCTCAATTTTACTCTGCAGAACAATTTTATCAATAAATAAATAAATAAATAAATAGGTGTGGTGGTGTATTTAATTATGGCAAAGCACACTAGGGCTATCTGCCTAAGAGGAGGGATGCCTTTCGTGGAGGACTTTCTAAGGGAAACTGGCTCGTATACACGTTACACATGGGGAAAACCACGAAAACACCCATGCAGCCAGCCCGTTCGCGGGATTCGAACCTCGGACCGAACTACTATATATATATATATATATATAAACTCTTAAAAACAGTGACATAAGAAATAAGATGAAAAAATTGTTGCCAAACCCCTATTTCTAAAAGAATGAAACTATTCAAAATGATGCGATTTCATCAAAAATCTATCAACAACAATAAGACAGGAAGATTGTTGCCAAAATCACATTTTTAAAGATATGAGAAGTGTATTCGGAAGCTTCATTTAAAATTGTTTGTTAAAATACAAAATATTATAATTTTTCTAAAATTCTTTTTGTAAAAGCAGTCGCAAGTATGAAAGTTTAACTTGTCCAAAAATGAAAGAAAAATAAACTGTAAAATTTTAAAAATAAACTTTTTTAAAAAAAATCCCGTTGAAAAGGTGTTAAGCTTCCTTTGTTAAATAAATTCGTATTTAATCGATTTATTGAAACACGAAATTTATTTTAAGTTCGTAAAATAGCTAAGTGCCTACGTTTCATGACGTTGTGAAAATGGAGTGTGTAGAGTAAAATCTCGCTTTCCTATAGCTCATTATGTCTCAAAATGACGCGATTTCGTCACAAAACATAAAATAAAAAACTTCTAATTCGAATTTCGAAAAAAATCGCTTCGAGGTGCACTGGCTCTCGTCTAGATGCACCTGTGTACCACATTTCGTAGCCGTGGGTCTATTAGCTTACGCGCAACGCAAACGAAACACACACACATACACACAGAGACAGACTCTTTTTTTTATTATTTTTTATTTTTTTTATTTTTATTTTTTTTTTTTTTTATGTAGTGATTTAATCTGTTTGCTACTGATGAACAAGCTATTTAAAAGCAGCAGATGCAGTTCTTAAGAATATTATTTTTTAACTTGAATTCTATAAGATCTCTATCTATTCTATATATTCTATATTCTGAAATAACTATTTAATTGAATCTGATTCAGTTAAATAAAAGAAAAATCTTAAAGCTTTCAGATTTTACATTACGCCCAAAGAGGCGTTTTTTCAACGTTCTGTGCGTTACCTTTATTTATTCAATATCATGTTCTTCGCACTTAACCATAAAATTCAATTCGACAGCAATATAGCAAAATAATTTTTAAATGAGAATATCTTTTAAAATTTCTGATACACAATTTCGCTCGCTGGAGATAAAAAAATGGTTTCGTACAGTGTTGCCATTGCTCGCTTTGAAATAGTTCAGTTTGTTAATCTACTAAAAATAACTAACTAAATACAAAATTCATAACAATATAAACTCGGACTTCATATCCAAAATCTTGAAATCTTGGCAACACTGTATTTGCAATCAATACGTACGTAACTGAAACGTCATTGCGGGGAGCATAAAATTGGTTCGAAGAAACGCAGTTTGTAGCTACTGAATTGCGCAACAAGATAATTTTGACTTCTATTCCAATTCAGAGGTGTAGGCCGCAAAAAAAGCGTTGTTTTTCCTACCAAAGAGTTATTTTTCCAATTTTGCTGAGCTCTTAAACTGCCCCTTCTCTTCTAATGGCATTCTACCATGAAAGGATATTTAAATTAAACAGCTTCATAAATGGGTAAGTAATGAAATAAAATTTGAAATTCCGATGTCCATTAAATTTAAACTGCTACAGGAAATGTAGTACTCACCTTGGTATAATCTGCAAAGCGAATAATTATTCAAGGTTTAATATTGATTTAGGGGAAAATCAGAACAATGAGAAAGAGATAGTACATATACATTAAACGATGCAGTTATCTGAAGAAACGAGGGAAATGTTTTTTTTTTTTTTTTTTTTTTTTTTTTTTTTTTTTTTTAAAGAAGAAATTACACCTGTTTAGGAAGTAATTACACCTGTTTTAAAGCTAAAGAGAATAGTAAAGCTTGACCTGTACATGTAGTATACATTTACAGTTTAACTGATACGCTTTCCTATTTCCTTTTATGTTCTGTATTTCTAAAATACATCCTCATGTAGCTTAACGTTTCGTGATTGAAACAAGCTTTTTTAATCCTAACGTATTTAATAATTAGCTTTATTTTAATATTTTCAGTTTGATTAAATTGCCAACGGCTAGTAAAGACGAAATCTTTAGGATAGATAAAGATTAAATTATTAGCCCAAAGGGAAATTTGCCAAGAAGGGGTATTTTTTCGTTTTGGCATTTTGCGTCGATTCGCTTTTGAAATTGTTGAAAATAAAATCATCATATGATCTCTAGTAATCGTCTGGTATTTTTCCCAGCAGGCCTTGCGATAAATGTTTATGTAAACAAATATTTAGAATTCGGAATGTAACGGATATTTTTTGCTTACTAAGTTAGTTTATTCTTTTTCTCGGATTACCTGATTACTTATATGAAAAACTTGGATAACATTATCTTTACGATACTGCTGTTGAATCGAATTTTATGGTTTAAGTACGAAGAACATGATACTTAATAAATAAAGGTAATACACAAAACGTCAAAACAAAAACGCTCCTTTGGGCGTAATATAAAATATGAAATCTTTCAGATTTTTTTTATTAATTCTGAATTTTTAAATGAAGAAGTACATGTGCACAGAAGGATTAAATGCTAATCATACGTTCTTCGTTTAAAATAAAACTTCCTTTTCATTATGGCTTTTTTATAATAAAACTGTTTAGTGAATTTTAAAAGAAGCTAAAGTTTTAAGATTAATCATAATTATAAAAAGCATTATAATTCATGGAAAACAAATTGATTATTCATTACCCGAATGATACATGAGGTATCCTCTGTAATAAAAAGACCAATGAAGAAATAACCAGATCTGAATTCAGTTCGAATTTCAAAAATTTTATTACTAAAAGGAAAAAGAAACATGTGGCGTTAGTATACCATTGCTTCACATACTGAAACTCCAACTGGAGTCGAAGTCTTTACTGCTTAAAAATAGGAAAATAGAGGAGTAAATACAATAATTTTAGTAAATAACAAAGTAACTTGAACTTGAAAATACAGAATTTTGTCAAAACTCTTTCAGATGAATTAACAATCTGCTATTTTGTACTGTTGCGAAGTATTATTACTTTCTCCTGTAATGTGCGCATTTCGTGAAATGCACATTAAACGCATATTCGAGCAAGTTCTAACTTTCATGTCAATTTCAGGGAAGTCTGCGGTTCCTTCATGATGTAGCAACTTTAATGGATCACTTAAATGCTTTGTTTCAATCAAATTGTTGAAATCCACGATCCTTAGGATTACCTTAATTTTTTCTGCTATAAAATGATAATAAAAATACTCTGACAAAAAAATATAAATATTTCTAAAAATAAGTCTTAGTATCAGTAATAATAAGTAAGATAATAATTGATCTTATAATAGTTTAAAATCTAAATCTATCTTTTAAAAATAAACACTTTTAAAAATACAATACAATAATACATTTTCAGCGATAAAACTCCTTTCTGTTGTTGCTTATACTCACTTGTCTAACGTAGTCAGTCTAAACCCACAAAATTCCTCCTGGCAAGAATCGCAAGATTACGCCTGTCGTTGGCAACAGCCTTGAGCGCCTAACAGGTGACAGTGCAATTTTGCTCAGTTCTGCCCCCAATTTTTGATGAAGAGTATTCCGGAAGGACGGGTCCAAGGATCTTCCACCCCTCTCTCCTTCCACCAAACCACACGAAAGAACTTTCTTCTGGCCGCATATTTAAGAGTGCCGCCATATCGCACCGTCACTATACATTTACAAATATCCATGCCTTCTCCGTGATTTGAACCCGGGCCCTTCGACATGGCAGTCAGCGACGCTAATCGCTATACTGGGTGAACGGCTTTCTTCTTTCTGCCTGTATGAAACGCCTGGACAGGCTTTCTCAAAGAACCACGAAGGAGGCTAGAAAGGAGCTTAAGTATAATGTATTTATCATAAGATGCAGAAAAGACCGGCCGCACTAACCATAATGAATACTGAAGCATTATCGTCCAGACGGTATAGTGGTTAGGGGAGCCTACTACGGTACCGAAGGGCCCGGTTTAGAATCCCGGAGAAGGCATGGATGTTTGTAAATGTATAGTATCGGTGCGGCATGGCGTCACTCTAAACATGCGGGGAGCCCAAAGTCCTCTCGTGTGGATTGGGGAAGACCCCGGGTTCCCCACCGGAGGTCCACTCCCTCAAATTGGGGGTGGAAAATAGAGTCCAACCTCTTTTCGGAGTAGGATGAGGCAACCATTGTTCCATGTAATATGGACACGACAACAGCAACAATACTGAATCATTTCAGCACGAAATATTAGCACGAGTATAGCACTGTATTTATTGTTTTAAAATCGCTTATTTTGTTAATCAGTGACATACAAATGAAATTTAAAAGCTAAATATCTCCCGCTTTGGTGAACTGCAACACGCTGGCGGGAAATATGAAAGTATTTTGTTCACGTCAGTGGCAACACATGGCTTTTGAATACTGAGTTCGGAGATTAATTCTGAAATATAAATATCTTCCATTAAATTAAGAATTCTTTTTTGTAAAATTTATTCTGAATCTATAATTAGATACGCAGCTTTTTTCGAGATAAATAAATTAGTCAGTTAATTGCTTTTGCTTCCGACATTCCTTTCAAAATCAAGTATTCCCCCCCCTTCATTTCGGAGCTTCAGTAACTGGGAATTGGGCAACAATTTCCTTTTTTAATTCACTGGAAATTCTTTTCCAAATATGGCAAATCTCACATTTCTTCACGCAATAATACTTCACAACAAACTGAGTTTCTTCCGCGTTGCCAATGAAGAAGCACTTCCGGCGTCGCTGGTGGCGAAAAATGTTATCATATCCGTCTTTGTAGTTATCATTTACTCTTCCTGCGGGAAAAATGGTCAATCTTGAAAAGTAATGCGCAAAAATAATGTGTCCGTTAAGCATAAACGATCAACTATGTTAATACTGAATCCGAATTACATTGAACTAGCAGGAAAAAAAACTTTATTGTCTTCCGATTCTATATTGTTCGTGGAGGCAATGAACAAGAAGAGAAAAGTATTTAAAAAATAAATGTTACGTATACTAGCCCGTAACTTTTGAAAAGCAAAGCTTCAAGACATATAAATGAAGTGTACACATAAATAATTTAATGGATGTATTATGCTTTTTTTCCTTTTCCATTATATTTTATATTTAGAATTAAAACCAAGATAATAGTAATTTAAAATTGTTTAAATTAATACATTTTAAGATATATAAACGAGGTTCATGCAGTTTTGTTAATGTAAGTCATTTTGACATGCAGTTACCACAGCTAATATTATACCTGTCTCGTTAACTTTTTCTGCTTTGGCTTTGCGTGCCGAACAAGTTTTCGTCCAAAATGTCGTATCATACATTCAAAACATTTCGAAAGAACAACATTTAATAACAAATCTCTGGCTTTGCCATATGATATAAAACAACCAATCATGACACATCACTTGGAGGATACCATATAAGGGGAATATACTCCTCTATTACAAATAATATTTGATACTTAGTAGAAGTTTGATAGCACGCCCCAAAATCTTTAAAGTTGAGTGTATAATAAAATATCTGTATATAATTTTTAGTATGCTATTGCAACTTTTAGCATGTATTGGACGTGTTCAAATATAAATTTTTTCCTTTTGTTTTTCTTTTGTTTTCATCGAGGAATTAGATTATGAAGAGCACAACAATAATTCCTTAGCAATTATAATACATATGATTTCTGCAGTAAAACTCCTTTCTTCTTTCTACCTGTACGAAAAGCCTGGGCAGTCTTTCTCAAAGAACTACGAAAAACGTCTAGAAAGGAGCATAAATATAATATTATCACATGAGACAGAAAAAACTGGCCGCACTAAATATAATTAATATTGAAGCATTTCCGTGCGAAACATTTACACGAGTCTAGCAACGCAAGACAATGAAATGCATGATTATCACTCAGTTTAAAAAATAACAAAATACTATTAAGAACTATATTTATTGCTTTTAAATCGCTTATTTTGTTAATCAGTAACATACAAATTAAATTTGAAAGCTAATTACTTCACGCTTTGGTGAACGGCAACACACCTGCGCGTGAAGAATAAAAATATTTTGTTCACATCATTGGCAACACATTGCTTTTGAATATCGAGTTTGGGGATAAAATTTGAAATATAAATATCTTCTGTTTTGTCAAATAGCAACGCGTTTACTCAAAAAAGCTAAAAATGTTTCATTTGGAGCACCGCTTTTGAATAGAAGATTTTGTTAATGAAATTTCAATAAATATGTACAAAACATGAAAAAAGAATTCTATTTCGAAATTCGAATATATAGTCGAAGTTTCGATATGCAGATTATTTCATAATAGAAGACGGTTTAAATTAGCGCTAATTGTTTTATTGGTATATTTTAAGAAATAAAGTTAAAAATACCGTTTCTTATGACAATGTACTTTTATAGTACGAAATGTAAATAAATTTATTAGTTCCTCATCGTTTAACAATAACTTTCTATTTTGCCAGGATATGAAAATCACTAAGCGAACAAATTTACATCCCTTAGACAGGTGTAAACCATCTAGGGACCCCTTAACTGTCTGAAAATCCCAAGAAGTAATTAGTCTACAAACATTGGTTTTCGTGGTTTTCCTCATGTGTAACGTGTATACGAGCCAGTTTCCCTTAGAAAGTCCTCCACGAAGGCATCCCTCCTCTTAGGCAGATAGCTCTCGAGGCTTTGCCATAATCACACACACACACACACCAAAAAAAATGCTATAAACATTGTTCCGAAAATTCAAAGTTATGTTCCAATTTTAGCCCAAAGGGCGTTAGTCCAGAAGTCGTTTTGGCATTTTGCGCCGAAAACTTTAAATGTCCGTTTCAATTTTTAAATCGTTGCCGGCAAATATTATCGGTGTTATATTTAAAGAAATTAAATACTGCAGAATCTGCATAAATGTATGTATGTTTCTTGCATTGAGATAAAACAAAGGTGCCTAGAGCCATCCAGTTTTGAATAACGTAATCCTTCACCGAGTAGGGGCATCTGGAAGCCCTAATTTGTTTTATTTATTTATTTCATATTTTGTCAGACATTAAAGAATTTTCGATTAACAAACTCAACAATTTCAAAGCGAGCAATGGCAACACTGTACTGGAAAAAAACATTTTTACCTGCACGGCGTGCGAGACTGTATCGGAAATTCTAAAGATATGCTCTTTTAATATTTTGTGATATTGCTGTTGAATTGAATTTTATGGTTTAAGTGCGAATAATTAATAATGTAACACACAAAACGTTAAGAAAGTCTCCTTTTGGCGTAATATAAAATCTGAAAGATTTCGGACTTTTAATTTTTGTATCTATTTATTTTTTAATCCTTTAAATTGAATTTGTTTATTCTCTGGAAAAGAAAAGAAGAAAGTCTTTCACGAAGGCAGGTCCGTGCCTAGCTATTTGATCACTTCAAGCAAAATGGTAAATTCACTCCCTTATATATAAAATCAGATTAATTATTAAAATATATTCAACAAAAATTATTATACAAAATCATCTAACAACTTTAATAATATTTTTACTCATAACTATATGCATTCAAAAAATTACTGCTACATGTAATAACTGAGAACTTTAAATGAAATCATTAAAAAGTAACTTTTTCGTGAATAGCAAATAACACTGAAGTCATATTAATAGTACTGCAATTAATATATTTTAGAATGATAATGAAGCTCTTTTTGTAACTTAATTTTTCTTGCCTTCCATGAAGTGAAGCCGACTTTTCTTTTTTTTTAACCTACTTCATTAGTCCTAATATTAGTCAAACTGCTATTAGTCTAAAAATACGATTTTGCGTTGTTTCACTTTTGATTCGGAAAAGCGCAAAATATATTATTCTTTCATATTTATTTTGTCTGTTATTAATAAACAAACTAAACTATTTAAAAGAAATAAATGCAGCTTTTGAAAGTATTATTTTTTACATTTTTAACCTGGTTGATGTAAATAAAAATGCAATTCATTCATGATATATCTAAATAAAAAATATTAAATAATTTTACAGAATTATATTACATACTTTTCATTTTTTAAATGCATATTCGTCTGATATCCTATAAAATATCACGCTATTCCATCTGGGCCATCTTTATCGATAATCTCCACTGATAAACCATATTAAAACTTAGGAGAGCCCTTTGGAGTGGTCGTTTAAATCTGAATCCTTTCAGATTTTCGCTTTTTAACTTTTATTTAAAAACATTATG